AAATACATTCACAGCTTCATTATTGTTTCCCCTCCAGTTTATCAGAGATGTAGGGAGAAAACAGCTGCCAAAATACTCATCTGTATGTTGCCTTACAGAAAGCTTTTTGTGAAACCAGAAATGTTGGGTGTGAGTGATCTAGCGTGTTGAGAAACTCGTGCTCAAGCCATAGAATTATATTATCACTGTAAAAAATATATATATATATATATCTAAATAACCTCGGTCTCATTCTGAGCAGATCATTAACATACTTCAGGGAGTTATGCATCTGGTGTATTTAAGATGAAAGAAGTGACCGCCAAGAAGTTAATTTACCTCAGCTCTATCTCTTGTGAGCATCTGGCACAGCTTGGTCTGGAAGCATTAAATAGAAATATTATTTGAGTATTCAAATAGGGAAACTGTCAGTGGTTGAACTTAATGTTGAGAGCGAATGTGGCTTATCCAAAAACACTTTAATCTTACTGAGTAAAAGAATGTGCCATGTTCTCAATGATATAATAATTCATTTTGTTGAGCACATTACTTTTATTCCATTTGTAAAAATTATTTCTATAACGATATAACCCATTTGTTATTTAGATGTGGTTCCTGCATTTGGAATCTACAGTGTGTGATATATGATGATAATACTTGAATATATAACTGCTTGGATTTCTTTTTATTTCTGATAATAATAAAGTTGTCTTCCCTTGATCATTAAAGGGAAGTCATTATAAAAAGTCTCATTTTGACATTGAAGGAGAAATATTACATATAATAGAGCTGTTAATTTTGCAACTTTAAATTAAGAATTCTGCATATTTAAAAAAAAAACAAAAAACACTGACACATGGCAAGGTTAATTGTGTTATATTTTCAATATGTTATTGTTGACTTAATGGTATCGTCAAGTTCCATATCTTCAACATTATTTAACGTTCCTTTGTAAATGTCAGTTTATTCTTTATTTTTCTATATCATCAAAGATTATATCAGTTTGCTTGATATGTAAAATTTTGGGAATTTATCTGTTTGCTAAATCTTACTTCAATACCATTTCGCATCGACAAATTATTCAGCCATTGTTTTTTGACAGATGCAAGACCTCTAGAGCTCTTTAATTGCTCCCAAATAGTTTTCTATTTGTGACTCTGGGCTAGTTTAACGTGAATAGGCCCAATCATACATCCTCTTCAGTTTTGTTACAAATTTCATGCACTATATTTGCCTATGACTGTCTTTCAGTTTTCCAAAGGGTATTTTGCAAGGTTCTATTTATACCCTGTTCTTATTGTTATTGATGTATAACATTCAGTTAAACTTAGTTAAAAGCAAAATGTGAATTTGAGAAAATAAACTCAGAGATAGTAACACTAGACAAAATATGAGAGCATTATATTATATCAAGTCTTTTACATTCCCATTAACATGCTTTCCAATGAGAAAAATGATATATTTATTCTGAGGGTTTCCTTGCCCAGAATGTAACATTCCAAATAATCAGATAGGACATCACAGGTTTCCAAGCTCATGCAATGTGATTTGCATTAGTTAACGGATAAAATAATCTATGGCAGGATCTATTCAGTCTTTCTGTAGGTTTAACATTGGTGTATCATTCAGTGGGATTGTACTCATTAGCTTCAGTGAGTCTCAAAACATCACATGAAAAGGAAAGTAACACATTTATACAACTCGCCTAAACAACACATATGCAAAGTAAAGAGTTTATGTACATCATTTGGCATCAAGAAAACCCATCTCCAAATGTCCTTAAGTTTAGAAAGAGTGGATTTTTGAAATTTGTTAAGAAGCCTTTTATATTTTATGGCAAGCCATTTGATACAATCCTGTCAGTCCTAAAACTTAGGTTGCTTGTATTAAGAATTATGTTCTAGCCAATATAATATTTGTGCAAATATTATTTTCTTCATGCTATTGTGTTTATGCTATTGTGTGCCTTTTAATTTTTTCATCTATTTAAATATGCTTTGAAAGTTAACATTGGGCATTTCTCTTTTTTTCAAATATTACTTACACTTCTGTTTGTCAATCAGTTTTTTTATTACCAATAATAAAACAAAGTATAAACTTAAATTGATTGAAATGCTCTCGAGCTTCACTTATTATTTTATTTGTTTAAGTTTACGCGAACTGAGCATCAGAGATGTAATAACTGCCAAGAAATGACAAAATTAAAGAAAATAGTAATTTTTGGATTTAAAATGTATAAATCATAAAATTTAAATAATTTTCTTAAAATATCTTCAATATGTGGAGTGTTTGCAGTATTAATTCAGGTGTACCAGTGATTTCAACCAAAAAGTTGATGTTTTGATCTGTATATATCCCTTATCAATTATTTTAAAATCTATTTCTAAACCCTATCCTTATGAACCAGTTCAAGTTATGCAATATTTGTATTACATTCATAGCTTGAAACCCTCATTTAGAAAATGATAATGTTATAATTGTATGTATGTACATTATGAATAAATAGAAGGCTTGAAATTTCATGCAAAGATGTTTCGTCATGTCTTTTAAATTCTGAAATATTGAGAATGACTTTGTGCAATTCAGTGAGCATTATGAATGACTTATATTGCCACTAATCTAATGAACTTCAGTGAAAGTTAAACTGTTGCCCGTGCAGTTTTTTGTGGTTTGTCTATGTGCTGAAACATTTTCTTTATTCTAATTTTTATGCAGTTTTCATTTAAAAGGAACAAACTTGTTATATTTTAACTAATATCTATACAACTTTCTGAGAGACCACAGAGTGTTGAAATAAAACAAAACATTTATTTATCATTATTTATCATTGGTGGTGATATTAGTATGATCATTATTAATCATATTTAAATAATAATTGTATATAGATAGCTCCTCAGTCTCACAGCACACATCTATTGGCAGTACTATTTGCTTCTCCTACTATGTCAGACCCCAGTAACACCAAATTGCTGAAATATTATTTTCATAAGGTTCTTTTTAACTGATGGGGGGGGGGGGTGTGTGTGTTGAGTTTGATAATTGAAGATGTTCCTACAGCACACATCTATTGGCAGTACTATTTGGTTCTCCTACTATGTCAGACCCCAGTAACACCAAAGTGCTGAAATATTTTTTTCATAAGGTTCTTTTTAACTGAGGGGGGGGGGGGGGTGTGTGTGTTGAGTTTGATAACTGAAGATGTTCCACGAGCCTAATATTTCTCACTCACAGACATGAGAACGGGAAGGTGAAGATTGACAAAGTGCCTGGACACTCATTTCCTCAAGTGTGATGAACCTATTCATTAGATTTGACTGTAGAGTCATTCAAGAGCAACCAAAAAGTGACTGTCATTAAATAAGAGCTCAAAAACCCATTCTTTGATCTTTAAGATTTTATTGAGATGTATCCTAAGCCTTCTTCATCTCATTCTACTTCCTCAGTTTGTTGCATATTTATGAACAGTGTCTTTTTGTCATTATTTGTTTTAATTGGATCAAAATGTTCTTGTCCCAAATTATGCTGAAACTGCTTTAATAATTGAGACTTGGTTTGGTAAATCTTTTTATTAAAAAGTTAGTATTTCTGTTGCATAAGCCCTAATCTACACTAGTGACCAGAATTTGAAGACAAATCTATCAAATGTGATGGATCATTTGAATCAAAATCCAAGCTCAAGCATGCACTCAAAATTTCTTTGTTACACAAATAGTCTCTAATTCATTGTTCATTGATGCTAAATACGATTATTTGTAAAGTCAAATAAAAATGTTAAAATATTTTTCTCTAAGCTTTCTTTCTGTTTGCCGTTTAGTTCTAATTCCATTACATGCATAAAACTCTATATATTCTTGTAGGAAATTGAACTAATACAATCTTTATGAATAAAACTAAAATCTCAACATTTATTCAAATGAGCTGTCCCTATTTACATAATTTATGCATGTAATTTTTTTGTTACATTTAGAATAAACATGACTTATTTGTAAACTTTGAGTGAATTTTTGATGGATAAAGCCTGAATAAGTCCTAACATGTTTTGGGAAGTAAGGCCAAGGAAGGCCAATGAGACACCTATGACACATGGTTCTAATCTTTTCCTGCCCCCCCCCCCTCCTGTTATTTTTTTTTTGTTGCTACTGACGGAGCAGTTCAGAGCAGTCCTTTTCACCATTGTTGGGCAAAGGGACCCACACACCTAGTGCTGTTGCAGCTTCTGTACCATCTTTATTATCCATGTATTCTGTGACAGGTGGTTAAATGACAGAAGTGTTAAATTTATATCTATCCATGGTTTTGCCATTCTAGTGTACAGAAGGTAAAAGTAAAAGCCGCACACTTGACACAACATTAAAATGTAATACTGATAAAAACAGAGCATCATGTTGTCTGATCAATTATACCTATAGGTTTTTTGTTGAACAAAACAGTCACGGTTTTGTTTTTTTTGCAGTATGTATCATCTTGTGGTATGCCCCTCCGCAGAATCAGGTTGCATATTGACTTTCAAATCTTTTTGGAGTTATCTGTTGTGGCGGATAGTTCCAGTTATCTATATAATGCTCTGCTAACTCATGCTAGTTCCAGTTACCTATACAATGCGCTGCTAACTCATGCTAGTTCCAGTTATCTATACAATGCTCTGCTAACTCATGCGCAAGTGGCATACTTGTTAAAGGTTTTCCCACAAACCTGTGGTGACAGTATCCCCTCCTTAGATATGAGCCCAATCTGTATGAGCCCAATCTGAGCAAGCCCAGATCATTGTCTGCTTGGCCAGTGAGCATCTCTCCCTTGTAGGTGAAAAATCGAAGTATGTAGGCTGATACTGAATCACAAAGCATTTAGTTTTACTCCCCAGTTATGATGGTGCTCGTTTGGAAAATAACGCATCAGCTAGGTCTTGATTTTTTTCCCAATTTGAAGGAATAAATTTCATAATTTGGTGAGATTATTATAAATTTCATAAATTTTCACTTTACAAAGGTTTTACTATCATTCAGACCATTATCACATGGTCTCCCCACCGCAATAAATGTTATGCGCAGGCCACAGGTTTCCCACTGCTTAGAACTTTTACTAAAACCATTAAACCTTCTGACTGTTTTAAAATCCCAAGAACGTGTTTATAATTTCAGAAACAAAACAAAGAAGAACAAAGCCAACATTGAATGTCATGACAATTTATGGGATTCACATAAGTACTAAGACAACAGCCGTATTTCATTCATTTTTTCCCCTAAATTATGGAACTACTGTATATAACAAAATACCTATTCCATTATCTAAATGAATTAATAAAACAGACGTTAAAATTTTTAAAAAATCAACCCATACACCCTACTCAATTTTTCATATAAATCTAGCTACATACATATCCCAAGTCATGTGCTCCGAGTAATGTGTGAAATAGATGTGAATGAAAAAAATGTATTGTTTCCACCTTACCTGAAATTTACAATCAAAAATTATTTTTTTGTGTCTAGGTGAACTGAGTCATTTCCATTAGTAATTTTTACTAGAGTGTAAGAAACAAACCGAAACTGACTCCAAAACAATCTTTGAATTTAAGTAAATTGGTTGTCTGCAAACATAAATTAAATTGACTGCAGTACTGTAGCAAAGTAAGGATTTTCCCAGTATACATGAACATGAAATGGTCAAGATTATGTATCAAATAAATAATTACATCACACCAATACATTCAATCATGTCTCTATTTCTTCCCTTTCACAATTGGCTTTATAAATTAAGTTCACAGGGCTTCTTTTAAAGCCAATAAAAAATACTAGCATGAATTCTTGTCAAAATGTATAAACCCATATTTCAAATCTGTTGACTTGCCTTTAACCAAATTATAGATAATTTAATGATATTTTCTTTATATACCATAACTATACAAAATGGTGTTTTGTTGAAGCTATTGATTTCAAATACCCAGTGGAGCATGATCCTAGATGCTATGTTGAAAACCACCATTTAAATACCGGGTACTCAAATTGTTTTGCTTCCTCTAACCTTATCATCAAAAAGACATTTTAAACACAGAAAATGGTTCTTCTAGGCATATATGAAGAGTGGTATTTAATAAAGAAATACATCGTTTAAATTTGCTTAAAATTGTTTTTCTTTAAACCACTAATTACAAATGATATTGTACTTACTATCAACAGCAGCCTTTTTGGTACTGTTAATCACAACTAATTTTTAAAAAATTAGCCCTTCATCTGCAACTCCCTTCAAAATAGCACACAAATGGAATATTTATCAGACAATACTTGAATTTATATACATCTCTACCTCCAATTTTATAATTTTTTGTAGGCTACCTTTTTGTATCAGGAAATATCTACATAACAGGATAAGATAAATAAAAATAACAATTTAAAGAGTAAATAGTCCAAAAAGCATTTTAACTACATAAACAGTTGAAAAAAAAAGAAAAAATGCTTAGATCTATAGCTTAACATTTTCGTGTAATTTAACATCTATATCAAACAGGAGCTTCAATATTGAGCCCAAAGCTTTGCCTCGATTCTGCTTCATCATTGCATCAAGCTCTTTAATCTTTTTGTTTGTCTCCACCTGAATTTGAGCCTCACTATCACTTTTCTTGCCTAAGATCTGTTGAGAAAAATGTCATTTTATTTCTCGTACTTCAAAATTTTAAATAAGTTTAAATGTTGATATACATTTTTAAATTCATTTTAAAGCAGTTTTTATGGCAATATTTATGTTTCTCATTTTCTGAACTATTGATATCTAAAAGAAGAATGTTTATTGTCTTTAAGCCTACATATTTTGGCTTGGGGAAAAGCAATTTCTGTCCATTAATCAAATTTATTTTCTAGAGAACATTCTAACCTCCTGTTCATACTGCTTATACTGGTTTTCTTTCTCATTTTTAAAAGCAAGAATTTCTGCATCCCCTTCCTTCTTTGCTGCTTTTATTCTAAGTGCTTTACCTGTATAAAAAAAACATTGTATTATTAACATTGATATTTTTGTTAAATAGTAAAAAATACAGTACCTGGTATAGTAAAAAGCATTGAAACTTGGACTTAGGATATGACATATTAAATAATTATTGTCTTTTTAACACAAATCTAGAACTGAAAACATGTACAATGTTAACGCTGACTCTCCAGGAGTCCAGCAAAACCATCCTAGCTCAAACTCAAGGACAAAATGACAATGAATAATGTCCCCAAAACAATGTAGCACATGTGAACCAAAATTTTAAAAATGTTGCCCTGGCAATACTGATTAAACTTTTAAACTACATTAAACAATAGCTTGGAATACGTGTTGTACCATTCATGGATATACTATATATAGGGAAAAAATTACGAATGTGATATGGGTCACATTAACTGAGTGAGAGTTTAGATTTAGAGGCAGGGCAGAGGCATGCCTGTCACTCCCAGACCGTCCATAGCCATCGTATTCAAACTGCTGTTTAAAGTTAAATGGATGAATAAAATTATAACTTTGGATTGCTAACCCTCCACATGATGTTATTTTAAGTTATTAGAACCGATAAATTTTCGTGGATTGAAATGAAGTCAGCTGACAGAGCCGATGTCGGATCAACTCACAACAGTTTCAAAACCATACGACCATAGACTAATTCCCAAGTACAATTCAGACCCAGATTCTCCAAAACTATACTATATCAATGCTTACGTTTTCGGGCTTCATTAACTCTTTCTGTTGCTTTCTTCTCGGCTATTAACAGCTGCTGAATTCCTTCTGTTTTCTGTGCCATTTTTATTTCTGATGAGAATGAGTGTTTTCTGCTATGATGTCAAAAACACTATTATTTTTTAACTTGCCAGTTAAATACAGTCATGTGTTTGGTTTGCCAGGACTTTTTAAAAATACAAATTAAACTTAATAAACATTAAACGAAAATTATGTACATGTTAAACTCTTCAATTAAGGAACAGTATATGTGTTATTGTGTGGAATAAATATTTTAATTTTTTAATATTATTTTTATTTCTTAAATATCACGTTAATTATTTGATAAACCACATACTGATGTTATTTCAGATCGGAATGAAATAAAATTACAATCACTTTTTGCTTTTTTGGTCATGTGAGTTGTTTTCTAAAGCCAGATTTTTAGCCTTTCCTTTTTTCTAGAGTTAAATTTTAATTTAATTATGCAAATAAGAATTTCTAACAAACAATTACAAATGCAATAGCCGTTGTAAAGTACCATTTGTAGCAATATTAATTTTTTTTTTCTTAAATATCGCTATATTATTTTTGCAACCTTAACCACGCTGACTCATGTCTGTTTAATCAATTCAAAATGCATGTACATACTGTATATCATCTTCAACTCATTAAACATTCTGCAATAGGTATTTTTGAAATTGTCATCTTTAAGAACGAATTTATTTAGAAGCTATATTAATTTGTTAAGTATTTTGAGTTCTTGACATTCTTACATGTCAGATAATATTTGGTCAACATTCTTTTTAATAAATCATAGCTCCGCATTTTTGTGTTATAAACATCAAAATGACGTTGTTTATGTAACGGCATATTTGTAATTTTAAACAAAATTCTTTCAAATTCACTTTGTCTAAATTATTATCATAAAATCTTCATTGTTAAGATTACATAATGATCTAATACAGCGTTGCACAAACTTTTAAGTTTGGTGGACCGGTGGACAAGCCTCGAAATTGCTCCATTTTCAGGGACGGTGCCAGATTTATTATTTTAAAAATTTTATTTGATCATAAATATTCATGTTATGTGGACAGGTGATGGTCTGTGGACTTCTATGTCGGGAACGCTATTCTAACCAATTGGAATCCACAGATACACACCACACGTCATACAAAAAGAAAACAAAGTTAACATTATCACTTGTACGTGATATCCCAACAGTTCGTGAGCGTGGGCGGGGGGGGGGGGGGGGGGGGGATTTGAAGATTTTTATTATGGGACAACCTACAACAATAACCTAAATGACAGGCTAGTCCACCTAATTATAATTCATTCTTCATGGTATCAGCAATGCCATCATATTTATTTATATTATTTTATTAGTGGTCTTATATAGCATGGTACCTCAGCCTAGACTGGGCTCACCGCGCTATACATAAAAATATAATACATAATCATGACATTAAAAAATAAGGTATCTTCACGAGACGATGGAGTGGCTATGTACACTTCAACAATGGCTCACTGAGTATCTTGATTCATGGTTAGATTTGGCCTTCTGTATTGTTATTTTTTAATTTTTTATTTATTTAAATTATTTTGTTTCAAGCACTTTGTTTCGCGCATCTTCTGCCTTTTTACTCCTTTATACACTGCTGTTCACCAGCTGGAGCGTTTCTCAGAAATGATATCTCATTCGTTGATTTCTATGTGGGCATTCCCCCATGCTCCTTTTGCAAACGTCCTTAAATCGCAGCAAAGGCCGTCCAATAAGTCTTGCCCCTTTTGCCAACTCTCCATACAGCAGATCCTTTGGAATACGGTCTTTCTCCATTATCCTTATATGGCATAGCCAGCCAAGCCAACCATGGGCGCCCGCAGAAAACTTTCTAGGGTGGGGGGGGGAAACATTTTTTAGTAATGTTTTAATGTAGTTTTAATTAACTGTAGCGTATTTTTTAGTGAACGAACGGGCAGGACATCAGCTTAGTTACTTTCTCTTTATTTTCTCTTTACTTTAATAAATTTGTTGTCTATTTTTGTAAACAAATTTTGTATCCAATCAATCCAGGGGGGGGGGCGAGTGCCCCGTTGCCCCCCTGTGGGCACCCATGCATGCTACACACTTTGACACGTTCCAAGACCTCTGTGTTAGGCACCTTGTCCTGTCATCGAATGTGCAAAATGCGACGCAGACATGGTGGAAGCTATTTAGTTTCCGCTCATGGCTGGCATATGTGGTCCACACTTCACTGCCATTTTGGAGCGTGCTAAGCACACACGCCCGATGAGTGCCTACTTTTGTAACTACATGTAGTTTAAATGATTCCACACCCACTTATTCAAATTAGCCATAGTTGCTTCTGCTTTTGAGATCATGATGTTCACCTCTTCGTAAAAGGAGAGAGAACTAGAGATATTGGATGCAATTTATGTGAAATTATATATAAAGTACTAGAAGGAAAAGGCATAAACCGTTTTAGTTGCTTATGTGTGGTTTGGGGCAAACAGGATGAGAAACACTGCCAATGGGCAATGGGGGCGAGGGATTAAATGATTGTGTCCAACCACTGATATAGACTATAGAATATGTATATTGAAAAATTGCGACGCTTTACAAAACAGAGCATTGTAAATTAAAGATGCCTTAGGTTGGCTGAACAACGAAAGATTTAAATTTAAGGTATATTTGAGTAAATTTGTTAAAATATTTCCTTAAACAAATATTGCCACAAGAAATAAAAGAAAGGGTGCGAATACAATTTAGATGACTACATTATCCACAAAATATGATGACGTAGTGCACACGGAAGAGCTGATAGATACCGACTATTGGTAAAGAATGTGAAGTATTTCTTTCTACTTCTTTTTCTTAAGTAACTTTTCGTGTAAATGTGCACTGTGTGGTCAATTATTATTAATAGTGGTTGGAACCAGATTTTATGTTTCTAGTTTTGATTTATAATATCCCTAATTTAGAATAGTCTTTGAAAGGTTTAATAGAAGTAGAAGACAAGACCACTCAGAGTGTCAGTAGAGTTGAGTAGAGAATAGAGTGAGAATGAGTCTCGATGCTTTGGGCTTGGGCACTTTGGCTTTAACTTTACTGTTAGACTAAACTTCAGAAAGTACTAGTAATAGTACGAGTGTCCGTACAACAGACGTCTTTGCTCATACATTATTAATAGTGGTTGGAACCAGATTTTATGTTTCGGCTAATGCAGAGAATTAGAAGACAAGACCACTCAGACTCAGTCAGTGTCAGTAGAGTAGAGAGTAGAGTGAGAAAGAGTCTCGATGCTTTGAATGTATCTTTATCGCTAGAATAAACTTCAGAAAGCACTAGCATGAGTGTCCATACAACAGATGTGTTTGCTCCTAGGATTTTGACATACAATGTAAAATTTTGAGATGTCTTTTATGATTGTACACCAAAATTAAGATCTGACATAACTACGATTTTAAGAGACCAGGTTGAAAATATATTGGTTTTTTATTAGTTTTTCCAATATAAAGAAATAATTAAAAAGTATATTTTCGGTTGTTGGTTTTAACTTTCATTAACATTCTACATGCAGCATTGAATGGATAGAGAAATATGATTGGTTGCGGACCATCTATAATTATATTACGTTTGCCCTGAGAGGGGTATGGAGTGGTCGGTGTTTTTTTTAGAAGATTTTATGTGCGGATTGCGGGGTCTAAAGATTTAAATCTATATAATATAATTAACACTGTCACATTTTTGTAATGATAATGGTGATATTCTATTTTTGCTTTATGTTTTCATAGCTAGACTCGGCTACAGTAATATTAGTGTAGTGGCTCTGGTGAAAATTTAGTCCATGCGCTGCAATCCATATAGCAACTACCCAGGGGGAAGGGGGCTTTTTGATTTGTGAAATATTGAGTACGCATGCATATCATACGGTCGGGGGGGGGGGATCTCTGCAGAAAGAAAGTATGTTCGTTATTTAAAAAATCTACAATATTCATCCGGAAAGTCCAAAAATAGCATGTGAAATATTGAGTACGCATGCATATCATACGGTCGGGGGGGGGGGGATCTCTGCAGAAAGAAAGTATGTTCGTTATTTAAAAAATCTACAATATTCATCCTGAAAGTCCAAAAATAGCATATTTATATCTCGAATGCTGTAAAAATATCACACAATGTTTTGTAGGAATTATCTTCATAATGTTGCCATGTATTTTCACAAATGAACTTCGCTAGATATGCTCAGATAGTACTCAGTTTAGTTTAACAGTATGTCCACGTTGTATGTGACATATATTTTATTGGGCTTCGCCAGTGCTTCTTACTTCTAATCTTTCGTTTCTCTGCGCCTTTGCCAAATTTAGGTTTTCATAAGGCTCCCTGTGTTAAATTCTAACAAGTACAGTTCGAAATAGCGAATACATAAACAAAATAAAATAAAGGGTTGGATAAAAATAAATATAACACATATGTAATCACTAAGTGCCATATAGTAACTGCAAACAGTAGTTGCTTTAACAGGGTTACTGAGGGAGTGGGATAGAAAATTTGACTTTCTTGTGCATGTACTATACAGATAGCCCCTACTCACATTTGTTTACTTCAGTGATGTAATACATAATTATTTATTGTGGCTGATCCGTAGCAAGTCCAGAAACAAGAAAAAATTAGAAAATGAATTCTCAATTGTTCCACCCAGCAACATTAGATTTGGACATATTTTATAGGATCTCAGAGGGCCTTTGAAATCTACTTTTAGAACACACAAAACGGCTGTACGATTTTTAATACCCCCTCTTCCTTTCACCCATTTACAGCTTGTGGTGTAATCAGACTGTAATTTATTAACGGGAAAGAGGCATAATGGATTTTGAATCTACTTTCCTTTTTTTAAATAGCTTTTCCTAAAAAAATAAATCTCAAGTAACTTGGTAGGTTTTTTTTTAATGACACCCGAATGCATTATTTCTTATTTTAATTTTTAAAAAATTTATGCTTAACTGACTTCGAGTTTGAACCAGGTTAAATTTCACCAATAACTTTATTTTTACCAATGATTGACTGTGATATAGTGATTTGCACGTTTACCTAAATATTAATGATATTTATAGCAAATACACGTCTGCAAAACAAAGTGACAGCAGATTCAGATTGCATTATAAACGTCAGTAATGTACTTTTAGAAGTTATAATAATTTTTAGAAGTTACCTTTTTTGATATCAGCTTATCTCAACATGAGATGCAATTAGTTGTACATTATATATACTGTATGTTTATTTATTTATCATTATGATACTGTATTATACGATTTTTAGATGATAGTGTACAATTTGAGGAGTTCGAGGGTAAGCAGGTCTGGTACAATATTTAGCATCAATGATTTCTACTTCTGATGTCTCTTCTACCTATAGTGGCTCTAACCCTATCTTTGGGGAGTAAAGCCTACTAGTGCTAGTAGTACTACTTGACTGCTACTCAACAATACTAACTACTATTACTAATACTGTCATGTTGTGTTTTTACCACTTGAATTGCGATGAAGAGTAACTTAACTTAAATAGATGAAACGTAAAGACACAAAGATTTGTGCATCTTTTGGCTTGGGGACTGAAATCTGTCTGTTAGTCAAATATAAACTATACTCTCTTTATTAATAAAAATAGACAGTAAATGTTGGTTTGGAGCACCACTCATTTCCCTTGGATGACAATGAATAAATTATGTTAATTAAATAAAATGAAAAATACCACAATATAAGATTATCCAAAACTTCATCTCAGACTGCTACAAACTTAGTACCATAAATTATGGTTTCTAATGTTATTTTGAACTTAAAATAAATTAGTATAAGCTAGTATTTTGATAATAATATAGTATGCTGAAATCAGAGTCCCACTGCTCACATACCTAAACATTGTGGTTTTTTTTAATCCACATTTATTAGAATGTATCATGATTTAATGACCATGTCTTCAAAATGCACATTTGCTAATATTACAAAATAATGTAGTTATGGTAAATTTACAAAAAGAGAGTACTTTTTAGGTTCTTTTTTTTTTACAGGACTAACGCTTTTAGAGAATAGGAAATGGCTTTTTGCACACCAAGTGACCTTGATTTTGTGACAAGGTTTGTATGTATTGGCTCAGAAGAAGGCAGCTACAATGTTCTTGCAGCTAGTGATTTCACTGACAAGACCCCATCACTCAGTTCCTTTTTGTGCAAGGAAAAAGGCAAAGAAGCTATTGACAGGTTACGGAAAATTTTCCAGAACAGAAGTTATATTACCAAAGAACCTCTTTTGTATGCCTTAGCGAAGATTATTAGAAACACTCCAGTGTCAAAAAACCATGAAGAGGATGATATTCGCATAGCAGCCTATTCTCTTGCTCAGGATGCATGTGAGTCAGCTATGGACCTTTTTACATTTGTCCACTATGATAAAGTGGCTGCAGAACCCAAAAAGGCTGGCTGGGGTCGAGGCATGCGGCGACTTGTTTCTCGGTGGTATGACTCAAAAACACCTCTTAAACTAGCATCAGAAGTGACTAAGTGCAAGTCAGGCAGGGGTTGGACTCATAGAGATCTTTTACGGCAGTGCCACATCAAACCAGATAGGAAAAGTAAAGGTGACTTTTAATATTTTGATTTAGTTTATTTATGGGAAAATATGTTTGGTTCTGGTTCTTGTTATCTGTGTTAAACTTTAAACAGCAGAATTAGTCTTTGAGACTTTGTATATAAAGATAAAAGTGGAATTATTGAATTTGGCTGCATTTTAAAAAGACATTTATATTTCATTCGCCTATTTAAGTTAAAGTACTGTTAGATCTTTAATCTAGCTAACAATAATAGATTAAAAAGTTATCAATAACATTTTTTAGAAATCTAATATATGATTACCCAAGAGAACTTATTGCCCAAAGATTATTTGAGCTAGTAATATTTAGTACAAAATTGTACTTAACTATGTGATCTGGTTGTTTTAAACATTATTACAGACTTTAGAATGCTAAAAATATACAAAAAAATTGCAGACTTTGGTTGATTTATAGATTCTGACCTATATTCATCTTATGATTCACTTGCTTGCTTTATTATTCATTTTCTCAACTGTGTTCACCACATTCATGTAATACTAGAAATGTCTTAGAAATTTTTTTGACCATTATTAACTTCCATTGAAAGTTTCAATTTTTTTTTTTTTTTCATCTCTCTTCTTGTGGCAGGTCTCTCCGTTGTTGTGGACTATGTAGTTCACCGTGGAAAAAAGTGTGAAAACTTTCCCGAAAGTGATGACAAAGAGGTCCAAGAGGTGGTAGCCTTTCTCAAAGATATAAATTCTCTGGCGTCTTCACAGCCCACAGAAGGAGCCTTAGTTCGTAGTTTGATAGAGAAACACAAATTTACTGAACGACAAATTCCATCTTTTCTTTTTCAATCTCCAGAGGTAGGATTGCATAAAATATGCCTTTTCATTTGTAATCCTTTTCATTTTTAATTCTTTTCATTTTTAATCCTTTTAATAATTTTGTATGACAATACAAGTACTTCAGTTGGCTCTATCTTTCTGACATTATGCATCAGGGGTGGGCAAATGCGGTTGTTAGAGCGATGTCTGCAGCCATTGGTCCTCTTAATTGCAGCTCCAGTTCAACAAGCCAATTTGATAATTTCTGCAATATTTTTGTTAACTTTGCCACATTTTCTTGCAAAATTTATTTTGTTCTATTTAATAACAGTTTAGGTGAGTGACTTCTTGTTATTGAAGTTAAATAAGATATGAATTTGATTGAATTTATGTACCTGAAATATATGACGTGGCTCTCTTTAAAAAATTAATATCGACAAACAGCTCCCATTTACCTAATGCCTGTCCACCCCCTGTTTTACATAAGAATTCTATAGAATTTTTAAATTGATGATATTTCTAGAATTTGTAATGTATATAAAAGATTCCCATTTTCTTTCAGACATTCGAAGGCTTGCTAGGTCACATGAAATTAGAAGATATTTTTAAAAGCATACCTAAGATGGCCTCCCTTGGTATGCTTCATCACGCCTCCGCCCAGGTTGGACATGTTATGGACATAGTGAAGAATTTGACTCTCATCCAACAAGAGAAGTAAGCTCTTTGAAACATAAAACTGTGACTTCTGTTAAAAAATGTGTATTGTGATGGGTGATTAGCTAATGTTAGGATCTTCCAGTTTGTAGGGTGTTAGTTATGTGTTCTCTGTTATTTTCTATTTGTTGGTTGTTGTTTTCGTATTTCTGAAATATATATGTACAGTAGGAATGTAAGTATCCTCAAGCAAAATTAAATGCCTGAAATGCAGGTAAACAGAAATTTCATTGCACTAGTCTTGAACTCTTTAAATGAAATGTTCTAGATCAGGCTTGTTTTTTTAAACCCTGTACACAAAGAGAAATAATGACAAAACGGAAGGTCTGAAAGTATTAACTGTAATTATTAGAGTCTGCAAACCTCTAAGATGCGATAATATAAGATTCTTTTATTAATCCAATTAAATGTAATTTTTTTTATAACATTGTACTTTGTACATATTTATTTTCAGCACATAAATAAATACATATTTGTTGATTCTATGACCTGGGAATGTGAGTTCAATTCCCTTGTGGGAATGTGAGTTCAATTCCGTTGTGGGAATGTGAGTTCAATTCCGTTGTGGGAATGTGAGTTCAATTCCGTTGTGGGAATGTGAGTTCAATTCCGTTGTGGGAATGTGAGTTCAATTCCGTTGTGGGAATGTGAGTTCAATTCCGTTGTGGGAATGTGAGTTCAATTCCGTTGTGGGAATGTGAGTTCAATTCCGTTGTGGTGTCCCTTTTTACATTTTGTTTTTTTGCACCATAGATGCAGCCAATCATTTTGCACCATAGATGCAGCCAATCATTTTGCACCATAGATGCAGCCAATCATTTTGCACCATAGATGCAGCCAATCATTTTGCACCATAGATGCAGCCAATCATTTTGCACCATAGATGCAGCCAATCATTTTGCACCATAGATGCAGCCAATCATTTTGCACCATAGATGCAGCCAATCATTTTGCACCATAGATGCAGCCAATCATTTTGCACCATAGATGCAGCCAATCATTTTGCACCATAGATGCAGCCAATCATTTTGCACCATAGATGCAGCCAATCATTTTGCATCTGGTTGAGTTTCATTACAGGTCTCTGTGTGTTATATTCTTCTGATCCTCCTGCGGTTATTATGGCTATGGTGGTTCTTTATTTTTAAAAAATATATATATATTTATCTCATTTTTATACTGCATGCCAACCAGGATTTTTTTATAATCCATATATTCTTCCTTAATCAGTCTTATGATATGTATTATAGCTTTGATAATCAATCTTATTATAGATAGATTAATAAGACACGAACAAATTCTGTCAATAGAACAATATGAGTTGTGCTTTAATAATAATTATACATTATACACAATTAAACGTTTCGGCACATGTCTTCATCAGTACAAACAAACACAACACATTTAAATAAGTATAAATTAAATTTACATAATATAAATATACATATCCTACCTAAAACAAAAAAAATATAGGACAGGGCGCTAAAACCAGACAAAAACGAAGTAAAGAGGAGTAGAAAGGAAGTGATTTGAACATAATTGGAAAAACCAAACAGGAAAAAGACATGGCAGCTAAGTAAAATTGTGGATTTGGTTCAATCCATATGGAGACAACGTACCAAATCTAGTTATTAATTTGTTCTCCATATAGATTCTATCTGCAGTGTTACTGGTATAGAGTATACCAGTAACTGCAATGTCTGAGATACCATCATGGTTAGGGCTATTGAAATGTTTGGAGACCGGACAGAGAGCGTGTTTATTTATGTTGTAGAGGTGCTCTCTGAAACGGTCCCCAAGGCGACGACCTGTCTCTCCTATGTATAGTTTACCGCACTTTTTGCAAATGATGGTGTAAATCACGTTGCGACTTGTGCAGGTAAAGCCATCTTTTATTCTGAATACTTCCAGAGGGAAAGTGATCATATCAGTTACGATCACGTAGGGACATGAGTTACAATGGCTACGGGTGCAATTTTTTGTGCATTTATGTGCTTTAATAGCAGGGAGGGGGCTTCTAACTAGCATGTCCCTAAGGCTCTTGTCCCGCCGGAAAGCGAAAAGAGGAGGTTTTCTAAAAATCTCATTTGTGACAGGGTCCGCCATAAGAATTGAGCGGTTTTTTGAGAACCAGAGAGCGAGCTTTTAGGTTGTGGGGATGAAAAGTTAAGATAAATTTAGACCTATCACTAGTGTCAGAATGAGGAGCCTTAAAAGAAGCCGGTCTAGTCATACCTTTAACTTTAGTGACAGCTGCTTTTAAAATTTCTTCGGGGTATAATCTGCGTCGGAAAAAATCCAACATTTCAGACATTCTTTCTCCAAAATCTTCTTCATTACTACATAGTCTTCTGAGTCTCAGCAACTGAGAAAATGGGATGGAGTTTTTACACCCTTGAGGATGGGATGATGAATATAGCAAGAAGCTATGACTGTCTGTTTGTTTTTATAAAAAATGGACGTAGATATTTTGTTCTCATGAAAGTTAATTCGTAAGTCCAAAAAATTGATGGTGCTTTTATGGATCATTGAAGTGAATTTAATTGTTGGATGAAAATCTCCAATGAAGTAAATAAAACTTTCTAGTTGTGTTATGTCCACATTAGTAATCCCTATAGATATAATAACTTGTCTTTTTAAAATTTTATCACAGAATCCATCCCATAGTAATATTTTTGGCACTGAGGCGTTATGAGGCAGACAGAAGCAAAAAGTGGATTAAAAATTATCACTTGATCAAAGCCTTGCATGCCGCTTTCAATGTTTCTCTCCAGGTAAATAAACTAGTGATGTCTTTGATATACGATTGTATTATAAGACATATATCTTTTTAAACAAATTCTTGTTGTTGTTGTGACATATACAGATGATTTTAAATGTCATGACCTTTTGTCTGCAGTCTTCTGGCTTTGAAAGTTTTAATTTTTGTGTTCAAACCCTGCCACCTTATGGGGAGACCAGGCTATCAGTGCCACATAGTCTTGAATGGATTAGCTCCGAAATTCAAAACAAATATTATTATTTTCTTTTGCCATAGTTATGGTGGGGTTTAAAAGCTAATCTTCCGCTATCTAGTCAAATCATTGTTGCTTGCAACACAACCTTAATTTTTTTTTTTTTTAAAAAATCCTGTAACCAAAGACAAGTTTAATGAATTTAAAAAAAAAAAAAATTAGTGATCAAAACTCAGATTTAGGCTCAAGCCTTTTATCCTCAGTCCCTGCCTAGAATTGGAAAGCGGATGCTCCTGGCAGTTCATGTGGATAACAAAGTGGCCAAGCAGCATGTGTCTGGAGCCAACTTCCTCTCCCCCATCATGCCCTGTGCTCTCATGGCTAAGTTTTTACTGGAGGTATGTTCACATTCATTCTAATGATCATTTTGGAAATTTGGTGAGGTAGTTGAGTGCCTGTTGCTGAATTGATGACTGTGGCTAACTGGTTACCAGTTGCTTTTATATTGGTAGGCATAGCTATAAAAAGTATCATAAATCCGGGCTGAAATGAGGATTGTTTCTACATTAAATGGTTAAAGCTCATCATTTCTGATGAATATCAGAACATTATTTTTTTTTGTCTTGAAACAACTCATAAAGTTGTTCGTGACAGTTGTGTTAAAGTTTCTTTTGATAAAAGGTTGAGAATTTCATAGGCGTAAATGAAAACCGTGATGAGACTTTCATAGTGGTAAATGAAAGCATGATGAGAATTTCATAGTAGTAAATGAAAGCATTATGAGATTTTCATAGTAGTAAATGAAAGCATGATGAGAATTTCATAGTAGTAAATGAAAGCATGATGAGACTTTCATAGGAGTAAATGAAAGCATGATGAGACTTTCATAGGAGTAAATGAAAGCATGATGAGAAAGTTTGAATAAAAAATATCACATTTTATCTTCTCTCAATAGCTGACTTTCTCACACAAGAAATAATTCAGTATCACTTTGAGTGATAACAATAAATCTAGGGTGTTGGTTATTTATTGGTGTTTCTACCCCCACAGTCAGAAGACAATATCCAAGTGGTTTTCTTCCACCAGAAAGTGATAGAGTTGAACATCAGACGCAAGACGACCATGGCTGGCATAATTGAACAGTTTATTAATTGTACCAAAGAAGTGAGCCATTTTTATAGTTTTTAACTGCACAAAAGAAATAAGACATTTTATTTAAACCGCCATTTTAAAAAAAATATTTGTTTGCACGTTTGTTACTATTATTTGAAACTGATTTTGACTTTATTTCAATGTGTTGTAACACTTTTACTTCTTGACTTTATTTCAATGTGTTGTAACACTTTTACTTCTTGACTTTATTTCAATGTGTTGTAACACTTTTACTTCTTGACTTTATTTCAATGTGTTGTAACACTTTTACTTCTTGACTTTATTTCAATGTGTTGTAACACTTTTACTTCTGATCACTTTCTAGATGATCATTGAAAAATTGTGATACAAAGTGTCTGTGTAAACCAGCACTCCTCCTAAATGATAAGTTATGTGGAACAAACAATTATTTTAATAAAATACATTTATGTCTTAAATTATTATCCACTGTATGCTGGTGTATGGGCTTTTCAAATGCAAAATTGTTTATTTTATTTCATTATTGATTGATTCTAATTTTATTTCACTTAAAATGAGTTTGTATCATGCATACTAATAGTTTGGGGAAGTGAGAAATTTCGATAACTACTTTCTATCAAGACTGTTTATTTATTGAACTAATAATATGTTTCATATTTTTATCTCGTTTTAACTATTTTGTTTAAAAAATCAAAATCAAGGCTATTGGATTATTCGTTATCATTCTCTCATATGTCCTCATTTTTTGTGTCTTCTTCTCTGTTTCAGCCAGCCAATGCAATCTATGACATATCAGAACCTCTCTGTTTCAGCCAGCCAATGCAATCTATGACATATCAGAACCTCTCTGTTTCAGCCAGCCAATGCAATCTATGACATATCAGAACCTCTCAAGTGGGCAACACAGAACAAGAAGCTTTTCGATAACATCTTAATTATCAGTGATAAGAAAATAGTCAGCTCTCACCTGGAATTTCATGAAACTGTTAAACTTTACCGCCGTGAAGTATCACTGCCCAATGCAAAGTAAGTGTCAAAAAAATTGGATAGAATTAAAGTTATTCACACAGCATAACTCCTTATTAAAGAAAATACTTTCACATGCTTGCTTGATTAAAAAATCGTGTATTTTGTTTTGGTTGCGGCCATTTGACCATCAAAATTTATCTGAGTGAGGTACCAATAGTTGTTTGAGTTTTAGACCTCATCTAAAGCAATGACTGATTGACTCATTTCATGACTGAGGTGAAAACAAATGTATCTTGATGAGGCTTTAATATATAGAACTCATCTACAACATTGACTGAAAGACTCTTTTCATAATGCACTAAAGTGTAAGAAAAATGTGTCCTGTGTTTCAGACTTGTTTATATAAGCCTGAGTGACTTCTCCTACCTTAATGACAAAAATGACCTCAACACACTGGAGATATCTGGCTTCAATGAGAGAATCCCTCCAATGGTCTACAAGTTTTTCCTGGGAAAGTTTGATTTTACTGAAGACCTCAATGAGGCTGCAGCACTGCCATAAGCCAGTTCGATATGCTGTTCTCCATTGTGGTAAATTGTTCAAAATATTTAAGAGAAACATTATTCTCTAAAATTGAAATAATTGTGGCTGTTAATATTTAATTTTTTTATTTAAAATTTTAAAAAGTGCAATTCTGATCTGCATTTATAATGTAATGCCAAGAAAACTGCTAATTGTTTCAAATAAGGTTACTGTCATATTTTTGGAATAATTTTTTTGGTCTGTTGTTTTACAGTTACGGCTAGGAATATTGTGAATATGGTTTTTTTCCACTGCCATTATCAAAGTTGAACTGTGTTTATTTAGACCATTATAATTATTTATACATCAGATGCAGATGTACATTTATGATATTTCAACTAGCCATTCTTATCTAGTCCATCTTCTGTAATATGACCATGATAGAACAAGGTTACTCACAGCAACAAAAAAAACATAAATACATATTGCCCTTAATGTTTTGTACAGTTAGTAAATAATATTAAAAAATGTAACATTGGTTTGAAGTAATTTTATATCAATGTATTATAAGTAGTAATTCCAAAAAGATACTTTAATTTAAGTGGTAAGCTCAAGTTGTTTCCTAACAATGCTGCATCAAGTTTTGTCCTGATGATTTTACATTAACTCATATTGATGCTGGTATTTTTTGCTTTTAGCAAAATTAATTATTATTATAAGGGGGTAAAAGTAGAAGACATTTAAATGCTTAGATTAATTTTAATTTTTTACAAATTTTGTTAACATAAAAATGCTCAATTTATTATATGATTGTTAATTGATTTTTATGAACTCAAATAGGCTCCTTTCTTTAGGCAAGGATGTAAACCACTGTTCTGTATATTTCTAATGAAAGATGTAGCATATTAATTATACAGAAGATACAAAAAAATGGATGATCTATATAAAGAAATGAGCAGGATTTTTTATTTAATCATTAGCTAGCATCAATGGTGTTCAAATTGTTGATAGGTTCATATGGTTGGAGCATTAATTATGGATTTGTTAAATATCACGCTAAGATATTTTAGGATTTGTGTTGATTTAGGTGTTGTGACTTAATATAACTGAGGAACCTGGTCATTATAATTGTAAGGAACCTTTCCTTCTAGTACTATTCAGGCTTTGAATTATCAGTTTGTCCTGGAAGTTTGTTATATACTAATGTAATTTAGTCCACTGGGTCTATATTTATCTGTCCCTGCTTTTATTAGAGACCAGTATTTTGTAGCATTAAGAGAGATATAACACTACTATTAGTTGGGTTAGGAGGACTGGGGTGCTCCATCTATCACACCCGCCAACTCCATTATCAATATTTATTTTGTTATCACTTAAGAAAGAAAAAGCTTGGTACCATAAGAGCCACTCTTTGTTTTAACTCAGTGTAAGCCGTGTAAGCCTAAAAAAGAGGATTCAATAAAGCGAAACCTGCCATGCACATTCACTACACTATTGTAATGCAAAGTCTAACTCTAGCTACTATCCTTGTGTAACTGTGTATATTACTATTGACTAGGCTACCTACAGAAATATATCTTAGCAAATTTTCTCAACAGCAACATCCTTGTTTTTTTTTTTAAATTTAAGAAATATTATTAATTTCATTTAAAAATTTGTTGTGAACTATATTTTCAGGAAAAGAAAAAATGAATCCTTGCACCTGCTGTTTCTTTGGTGAAATCTTGTCATCTTTAGTTTTGAAGAAAATATTATCCACTATTTTCCCCATTTCCAACTTCATTGAGTTTTGTGGTATGGGTAGGCTTAAGTAAATGTGCCCACTTTAAGTAAACGCCATTGAACTGTATTTTCCGACATTGATACAACACAATATTTATTTATCTAAAAGAAAATCTAAAACTTTTTCACACATGTAATACCAGCAGATTTAAAGTTAGCCACATAAAAATGTACACACCGTCTTTTCTTTCCCTCAAATGTGTTTTCTGAAGAAGGTTAAATGCATTTTTTCATAAGTTTTTTTAAACTCTATACAGATTTCTGATGTGTAACGTACTTGGGCTTTGGATATTGCTATAGATATAAATTCTGCCCCATCCGTACTGTGACGTTTCTTGTGGTGCCTAGGGCAAAATCAAAAAATTGCTGCTCCCTTCCTCCCACACGCACAGATTTGATTAAGTTTGTAATAACCGTTAATAAAAGCACCACAGGGATGGTAACCCACAATGTATGTCGCTGCACATTTTTTTGCACGTCCCTTAACTCTATTAGAATTATAATGTCCCACCCCCTTTCACCACACAATGTATACATTTTCTTTTACAAAAATAGTTCAACACATATTTCCGTATATTTAAAGAATATGCATTTTATTTTTAAAGTAAAATACATTCCAAAGATTAAATCTGTAGTTGCAAAACAATCTGGTTTGAAGAATCGATATTAATATCCCCCACCCCCAAATTTTTCTTGGCCTTGAAATGCAAAAACGTAAAATTGTAAAATACAAAGTTATAAATTTTATTTCAAATTATCTATATTGCGCAATTTTGAAAAACAATCACTTTATCAGTATTTTCTTATTTAAAATATTTTTTTAACAATCAATAATAGGTAACAATTTAAATTAAGCTCTTTAAAAGATTATTCTTAAGTTTGTTTCATTGACTTCAAGTGAAAATTTGATATTGTTTTATTTGAGCCATTGACATTAACTTTAATTTATTTATTTATTTATTTATTTAGGCATTTTTATATAGCGCTTATCATAAAGCTCTAAGCGCTTTACAATTATTAAAACATGTGAACTAAGTAAAATAAAAATGAGACACTAGGATAGTAACTACTATTCTATAGAAACAATGAAAATGGCTATAAAACGAGGACACTTTGACACTTCAGGATCAACCCGAAACAGAAAATGAGGTAGGGCAAGGAGGGTGCATCACAGGTCATAGGCGGACCTAAACAGATGAGTTTTAAGGGACTTTTTGAAACTGGACGAGGTTTCACTATGACGTATATGGAAGGGGAGCTGGTTCCAGAACGTGGGCCCATGGAAGCAGAAGGAGCGTTCAAATTAAATTCCTAATTTTGAAAAAGCAATTGTTTAAAATTTAGACTTTCTGGGTTTCCCAATAAATTTACTTACAAATTAATAACAGTAAGAAATAGATGATCAGGGATTGTTTATAAAAATGAAGTCAGTCTCCACTTTTATATAATATTTTAACTCTTGCATTGAAATAAAATACTTGAAAATAATGCTTTAATCATTAAATTAAATTTACAATAATTGATTCAATTTCCATAAAATAAAAATAAATTACTGTCGTTTGGTGCTGTAAAAGGGAATTTTTATATTGTGCACTGTTGAACCCAGAATTCATGGTCACATTAGCTTATTCTCATATTCAATAGCTATAGCCACCCAAATAATGGCGGCCTCAATGCATGAACTTCCCATCTACCTAAGAATAAATAAAGTAAGATACTGACAAAACATGCTTTCAAGTAACACGCTGTAAAAGATTGTCAATTAGTCCCCCTTCCTCCCTGGTACGCCACCACCCCTGAACTTTATAAACATTCTAATATCACACACCCCCCTTTTACACTGCAGATTTATTGCACCATGTCCATAAAACTAAACAAAATAATACCCACCAAGTGCACATGCGTTATGTTTAAGAACCTCAGTTCGCCCAGTTATCAGGACTTTTATTTTAGTTTCTTTTGAACCTTAGCGTTGGGGACGGACATTGTTACATAGAGAATTATCTATGCTCATTGTCCAGAGAGTTAGGCATTAATCTTTAGGCTCAAGGTGCTTTGCAGGTTTTATGAGGGATTGTTGAGAAAGGCTTGTATACATTTTTTACCTGTGTATTTTAAAGGATATTAAGCTCGGCCTGAGAGAAACTTTCAAATTTTCCACACAGGTTAAACAAATATGAGCTTATTAAGTTTTGATCATCTGCCTATATTCTGACATCCATAGTGTGACGTTATCTGCAGTTCCGTTCCTATAAATTGTCCTTTGTATTGAAGGGCTATGCCATAAGCCCTCTATATAAATTAAAAGTTTAGTAACATATTTCCTCATTTCTAAGTTGGCACCTGTTTTTTTTTAGGGCAATTCCTGATTATATATATGAGGATCAGAGTTGCATGTCTGGGTTCAATATTTTTCTTTTGTTTTGTTTCTGTGAGTACCGGTACTATAGACAAGACACTAAGAACAAACATGGATGACCGAGCACAAAAACTGAGATGTTTTTGACAAACATTTTCTTAACATTCAAGTATGGTACAGCTTAACCTTTTTAAAAATTGGGTGCACTAGTTCCAATTTTGTAATGAAACATAATGACCTTACTGCACTATAATGCTTTAGCTCATTTTATAATAATTTTTTTGTGAATAATTAAATGTTATATGTGAAATGTTTTGTTCGCCTTCAAATTTGCGCTGTTCACAAAATAATTTTCATTCGCATCTTGTTTTCAAGAAATGAATTTTCATGGTTATGTTTTTCAAACCATTTCATTTCCTCTTTTTAACTTTTTTTAGAAGAGTTCAGAATAACTCATTTATTTTTATGTTTAAGTTTGACAGATCTGTCCCTAAGGGTGAATGCCCCTGCCTTTTCATTGTTATTACTATACAAATCTTGGGTATTTGTGTGCAATAGTCACCCACAGTAAAGAAACTTCTTCATGTTATTTTTAGCTAAATTTCCTGTTAAGTATGTATACATTTTGCTCTAACACAAAAAATAAATTGTACATTCTTTTAAAAACAATTTTTCAATTTGTTTCATTACCACATTATCAACTCTTAATTTGATAGATGAGAAATGAAATGTAAGCTTGTTTTATGATCTTTGTCCCTCATTATTTTCTTTAAAAATCAATTTCCGTCAGTTAATTCCTAAAGCTAAGTCAGGAATTACAAAGCATGGGATGTTATTTATATATATTTTTTTTTTGTTAAAGTTTGATAATCACCTCTGTAAACTATGAGAAACTAAAAATTTTGAATGCAGACTTTTTTTCTGCATGGTTTCTCATTGTGGTATTTTATTTTACTGTTCAAGGCTCTTTTTTTAAACTGCTTCTGTAAAGCTCTAAAAGGCTAAAACCCTAATGATAACATGGCTTTTACCTCCATGGAAGTCTTACAGAAAATACTTGTGTTGCCATTGATGGCCTTGACGAGTTATGCTTTCATTCTCTGTTCCAATATTAACACTACTGCCACCAGCTTGTCTAAATTTGTTGAAATTATTGTATTTGAATTAAAAAACAAAATATGCTATTTATAGCTTCGTGTGGGCTGGTCTTGTATAGAATTTTTTGCTTCATTTTGTTATGTTTTTATTTTCTTTAGATATCCTCAGTACCTAAAATAATTTTTAGTTATCTAAAATACTTTTTATAAATTGACCTAGCTGCTGTGTAGGTTCTTTTGAAAAAGATGCTTAAACAGGAAAAATCTAACCCTTCTGTGTCTTAGAATATAGCGTTTTTAAACTTCCTAAATATTGCCATGCAAGTTTGAAGAATAAACTCTGGATCACAAACTCCTAGATTTCTGACTACAGGTTTATTTACTGCTGGGTGGCACAGCGATCTAAACCGAGTCAATCCCCAGCAAAAGCCTAGCTAGCCAAGCAAAAACACCACCAGCATCTGGAGTGGATGGGACTCATTAACCATGGATGGCAACTCATCTAAGAGAAGGAAACTCTGAATAAGTCGGAGCCTTGGTCATGTTCCCATGCGAAGGGCAAACAAAAAATAATAATAAAAGTTTTTAATTAAATTTTTAACGGTATCACTTAAATAACTGAACTGAATTCTCTGTAACAAAAATTAATTTATTAAATTTTGCACAAGCCATTAACGTACAATAATTTATTGTGATTCAATTGACAAACAACAGTCGTTATATTGGAATAGTTTAGTTTTGGTTGTACTTGATACATTAGACATGAAAATAGTCCATTAATCCAATACCAATCAGGTTAAGTATTCATTTCAAATCAAGGTTTGTGCACTTGCAAACAAAAAAATTCTTATTTGGCTAAGAAGATGTTTAAGTTAATGAATTGAAAATGAAATTAAAGTAGATGACTAAAAATTATAAATAATTTTAAAAAATGTTCCCATTGCACATTCAGACACAACATTCAATTCATTGTTTTTATCAATATAATACAAAAATAAACATTGCCACAGTGAGACAAAGTATTGATGAAGAGAGGAATAGGCTTTTAAAAGTTGTCAAATTAAGTGTTTGTACAATGAAATTTTTTAAGTTAACTTTTTAGTTTCTAAAAAGTTTTGAAACACTCCTATAATAATGAAACCATCAGGTTGGGGCGCAATTTTCAAATAGACCCACAAATAAAAAAAGGGCAATCAATTAGATGGCTTATCACAGTGGTTCTGAAAAAAGTGGTTCAGGGAATCCAAATCTGCTATGCATGGTTTGTTAAGCTACTACAGGGAATTAGTGAACAATTACATTTGTCACATGACCATGGGTAAGTGACAGTTCATGTGAAGGCCAAGAGGCGCATTGATCACAATTTGA